TTTCTCGATTTACCATGACACCATTACCAATGACGACTATCAATGACTAATGCGGAGTACTATTTTTCTAAATAATAATGATTGTTACTCCGTATTTCTTAAAAATAGAGTAATAAAATTACTACTTTGCAATTAACTTTTAATAATAATTAAGGAAATAATAGGAAATACATAATATTATCAAATTTGACCAAAAAACAAAAGTAGACAAATACTCTAGAACAGAGGAGTAATTAATATGAAGTAATAATAATAACTAGTGGTATTTTTTAAAAAAGTATAGAAGTAAAATTACTAATTAATTGCTTAAAATAAATAATAGTATTAATAATAAGTGTTATTTTATAATAAGTGCTATTTTTCTAAATAACAATTAGTGTTTTTATAGAAAAGAGTGGTAAAACTAACAATTAATTTTTAATAATAATAGTAATAATAATAAATCAAAAAATTAATAATAATAATAATAGAATAAGAAAATAATAATTATGAAGTAATTAATTATAATAATTATTAACAAATAATAATAACTATAATAGAAGAAGAAAAAAACAAAAGAAAAGGTAAAAGAAGAAAAAAATGTGGGTGGGAGAGGAATGGAGGTCACTGGAACTCTGGAAGGCAGGAGAAAGAAGAAGAAAAGAAGAAAAGAGGAAGAAGAAGAAAAGAATGGGACCTGCCAGTCTTTATCCGATACTTGGCAGCAATTTTTTGAGAATAGGAGGAGGAGGATAACGGAGAAGAAATGTTAACGGAGAGAATGACGGATTGTTACCCCGGAGTCAGTTTTTGAATATCTTAAGGTACCTCGGAGTATATTTTGAAAAACAATGGGACATGCTAGTCTTTATCCCAAAATTAGGGATACCCAGCAGCAATTTTTTGTTTATAGTTGGATCTCAATTATGCATATTTACGTTGCACAGTTGGCAAGACAAGTAGTGCCAAATGGTTAAAAACTGGGTTTGATTGCTGACAATTGCACTGAGAATGCTAAGCATAGGACCTCTGCAAGTATCAGGTGCAGGCTCACTCTTTGCCACCAATTTGCGATTAAAATACAATTTTTCTCATTTTAATGACCGTCTGACTGGATTTGAGAGAAATCTCGAGAATGTGGCTCATCTTTTTTTTGGATCTCAATTATGACATCACAAATTGCTACTTCATATTCCTTTTATACTTGAAAATAAATGTTACGCAAAATATGACAAAAAAAAAGCATATATTATACAATCACTTGTATTTATTGTTCCATACATCGATCAAATATTAATTCTAAATCAATGTAGCGTGCATTCTGAAATAATATAACCTCTGTTATCTTCAATATATGAATGATAGAGAGAATTTTTATTTTAAAAATGAATTACTATACTATGATAATATAGCATTGTATATAGACATTCACAATATTTTTTGACATCATAGGTTGTCATTGTACATCATATAAAAATATAAAAGTCTTATTTATTTTTTTTTATATTTTACTTTTACTTTAAATTTTTTACTAAAATTTCACAATAGAAATGGCATGTTTACCAAAAAAATGATACTATTACATAGTTAAAGTAGTGCAAACAAATAATGTAAAAATTTGACTCACAAGGAATTTTCCATATCCTTTTATATGTTTAATATACTACTCCATAAAATATATCTTTGATATTTTATGTTAAAATAAAGCTACTAGCAAAAGATAATGCCAAAAACCACTAAAAGTACTAACACACAATGCCAAATTGGAGCTATTATGTGAGCACTCTAATTTTCTTTGAACACTAGTAACTCTGTTACAATATAGTATTCGTTCATACATTCTCACTATAAAGCTTGTAAAGTTACTGTCCGGACTAAGGATCAAACACGTGACCTCTCATTTATTAACACAAATATAAAAAATCTTAATTTGGTATAAATTTCATATTTCAATCTTATTTTTGTAGATTTTTATTTATTATGGAGGATTTAGAATTTATTCTTTTCACCTGATTTAATTATGATAAGTTTTGATGTGAGATAGGAATGATATGAGGATGTTACATTCAACTCTAGTACAATCTAGTATATATTCATTCTTTTATAATCTAATAATGTACAAAGACCAACGTCCTACCCCAATTGATACTCGAACCTGATGAAGTTTTCAATGAATTTCTGATTGCCATCAATTTGCGACCAAAATCCAATTTACCTCTTTTTAATAACTGTCCTATCAGATTTGAAGACATTCTGGAGGAAGACTCGTCCCTTTTTTCCAATTAATTTTGGGGAGTGAATTCAAAAAATGAAAAAACTATATTAAAAAAACAAAATTCTGAGAATATAAATACATACTCGGTGTTCGTGCCCAAAATTGCCACGAACTAATTCACCACCGGTTTCTCCGCCCGGTGATTCTATTTCCTCTCTTCGCCGACGATCAGAAATCGAAATCTGTCTCCGGCCGTCGGGAGCTGGACACTCCGGCGCATTTCCTGTTGGATCAGCCGACTTCGACATGAATCCCGAATAGTAATCTCTCGATCTCTGTTTATCTCCATAATTGTGTGTTCAATATACGTTGTAGTTTTCATTTAGCGTCTCCCACCCAGAAAGTTTTGCTTGACTGCACTTGATCTGACCTCAATTCTATGAAAAAAAGTCGAAGATATCAACATTTTGAAGATTCGATTGAAACCTCCGTCCGAATTTTGTGGTCTATATCGTCGAGCCCCTCCCACTTTATGGGGATTGATTATTTTAATGTGTAATAATTTGTCAAAGTTCAAATTCTTTGATTTTTTATGCCTGCTTTTCGGTATACCTCATGCTTTATGTTTGTTGACTGTTGAGGAGACAAATGCTTTTGTGCATAAATTCGCTGGTTTCTTATCTAGATAGAAATGGAAGTTCAATTCTATGTATATAGCGGTTACAGGTAAGATGGGGCTCAATGCTCATTGCAATTTATTATGTTGTGCAGTGACTACTTGTTCAAACTTTTGCTGATTGGAGATTCGGGTGTCGGGAAGTCTTGCCTTCTTCTTAGATTTGCTGTGAGTGATACTTGTCTTCGTTCTTTTACTTCATTAATATGATGGGTATATTCTTTGTTCAGAATACCGACCATTTTTTATTAAAAAAAGGATGCCATATAACGAATATGCATTTGTGCCCCCCTCTCAACCCGAAAAAAACAAATACAACAAAAAACAACCCAGTGAGGTCCCAAAAGTGGGGTTTAGGGATGTTGGATGTGCTTAGAACATGTAAGTAGGTAAAGAGAATTTTTTTGAAAGACCATCAGCTCAAGAAAATGAAGAAAATACAGGGCAATACAATTGACAATTCAACAGAGTAATATGTATGAATCAGAATATGCCTTCCTCATCTACTACTTGTGGTCTTCTTAGCTACCCCCCAAAAAATACAGAATATTATGGCTCCGTTTGGAAACCAGGAAAATAACTTTTGGAAAATGACTTCTGGAAAAAGAGATATTTTTATGAAGTCATTCATCTTTTCTGGTGTTTGGTCTAAAAGTCTGAAAATTATGTGTATATGTTTGGCTAATTTTGGGGAAATGAAAATCCAAAGCACAAAAAAGAAAAGCCCGGGTCGAAGAAGATGTTGGGTATACGAAGCTGAAAAAAAGAACACGAACAATTTTGAAGAGCAAATTAACCAAGCAAAAATAATAATCTGGAATCCCCCATTCACGATGTTGAAGAGCAAATTTTTATGATGATGATGGATAATCAAATATAGGGACTATTAATTGTGAAATTGGGTACGTGGTGGAAACGATGGAGGACGGTTATTGGTGTGGCGGCGGTGTGGGATGGTGGAGACGATGGAGGTTGATTATTGGAGTGGTGGAAACAATTGGGATGGCAACGGAGATGTGGGGTTGTGGTGATGGTGATGAAAGGGCACGGGGAAGACAATGAATGAAGCGAAAAATAGAAGTGGAAAATGACTTCCTCTTTTGAAAAGCGGAAGTCAATTTCCGGATTTTAGATGTCATTTTCCATTGACCAAGTTTTCCTTTTCCATTGACCTCAATTTCCATACGGTGCCAAACAGAAGAAAATCAGGAAAATGACTTCCAGAAGTCATTTTTCTGGTTTCCAAACGGAACCTACATACAACTAGCACTTTCAACTTTTCAAGTTTTCAGGATAGAGAAATACGGTGTACATCTGATGCAGCATAAATGTCCACCTCTCACCTCTATACACGTTCAAATGCAAAATAAATTTGCACCTCTATTAGATGTGCATTTTCACTACTTATTAGCTTCAATTTTGTTTTTGCAGGACGATTCTTATTTGGACAGCTACATTAGCACAATTGGTGTTGACTTTGTAAGTTTGTTTAAGGCTCAACTTGTACTGTAGCAGGATAACTAACCTAATCTGTTTGGAATCTCTGGTTTGCAGAAAATTCGCACTGTGGAGCAAGATGGGAAGACAATTAAACTTCAAATTGTATGAGCTTTCCAGTCTTCACTTTCAATGTCTACGTAACATAAAAATATTTTGTGTTTGATTTTCATGGAGCTTATGAAAAGTGTTGAAGAGTTCAAAAAATGTGGTTGACACTTGTTAAGAAGAGAGAAACTTTCTGAGCCATATACTCCTTTCCTTAAAAAGAAAGTGAAGTTTTTTTGGAATGGATGAAAAAGGAGAGCAATTTTTTTTGCGTAACGGAGGGAGTATATATTTATACTTTGACGGGTTGTGATATATTTTGGTACAAGATAATTTTTCTTCTAGCCTTCACCATCACTAGTTTACTACTGTTTGCTGATATAGAACTTTGAGTTCTCCTCCGAGTCTTAAATTTCACACGCTGCACATTTTTTGTTGCATTTCAATGTCCATCTGCTGCACATTTATGTTGATCTATGATGTTCATATGCTTGATTCTCATTGGCGATATTTTGATGTGACTATTTTTGCCTCGTTCTGTAACTGGCAGTGGGACACAGCTGGACAAGAACGCTTTAGGACAATTACCAGTAGTTACTACCGAGGAGCACATGGCATCATTGTATGCTTCCTTCTAGATCACAATCCGTTTCTTTCATGCTTTGACAACTTTTTCCAACCATATGCATTGCAATTTTCACAGATAGTATATGACATAACTGATCAAGAAAGCTTCAATAATGTTAAGCAATGGTTGAATGAAATTAATCGCTACGCAAGTGATAATGTGAACAAGCTTCTGGTTGGAAATAAGTCTGACCTGACTGAAAACCGGGCTGTATCATATGATACTGCTAAGGTATCATTTATACTTTTACTTTAAAAACTCTTGTATGGATCCTGTTATACAATGGAGTGGATGTTCTCTTTGACAAACAAAAGCATTGTGGTTGAATCTTTAAAGGCATTTGCTGATGAAATTGGCATTCCTTTCATGGAGACTAGTGCAAAGGGATCCTATAATGTTGAACAAGCCTTCATGGCAATGTCGGCCAATATAAAGAAGAGGTACTTTGTTTGGCTTATTTGTATCTTAGTTTATGTGTTTTTATGAATAGTTGCCAAATCCCTTGGGTATGTTTTTTTATTTTCTCATTAATGCAAGTGCTTGAGAATGTGTTTATTCAAGACGTTTAGTAATTAAGTATTGTTATTATTATACTTTCTTGAACTATTGAGTTTTGATGATTAAAATAATGATGTTATATTTGCTAAGAGTCTGTTTGGCTAACCCTTTTCTCCTTCTATCAGTCATAGCTATATTTTGGCTGAAATTATTGATATTGGCATTTGTACTTTCACTTTTAGTATACTCCCAGTCCCTTAAAGAACTCATTGCCTTCCTTTTTTAGTTGCCCCAAAAAGAAGTTTGTATTACATTTGGGGAAAGAAATGAATGGTACATTATTTCTCTTGTTAAACTTTCTGAAAAAACAAACAAGAACTACTTTCAGGGACAGAGGGAGTAACCATTTCATCCATTTTTAGTCATTGCTAGCAGAACTCAGTCGCTTTGACCATTTCATCCATTTTAGTCACTGCCAAACAGACTTAAATTCATCACGCCATTGTCCCCAATCAGGATGACACTCTGTTGCTTTCTTTTGCAGGATGGCAAACCAACCGGCCGGGAGCAATGCCAGGCCACCCAGTGTGAAGCTTTCATCAGGGCAGCCCGTTAACCAGAATAGTGGCTGCTGCTCAACCTAGGCGCTATCATGCTTTGGCCCCACACTGATCGTACCCGTTTCAAAAGGGCACTCTTGAATTTGCAGAGTGATACACATCCAGTGCGAGGTTGAGTTTATCGCGTATAAATATTGCATCAGAAGAAAGTCATTAGACTTTTTTTTACCCAGTAAAGCTTATAACTTTATTGTTTGCTGTTAGTGATTGGTATGTCTGGGATAACCACAGAACCTTGAAAGTTTCAGGCATTGTGAAGAAATTTCATTTTAGCACTTGTTTGGCATTGTGATAGGGGCAAACTCATGTTTTGGATATAACATATTTCATATGAATTGAAATGTGTTATATCCCAATATTAAAGTCTCACTTTCCTTATTTGTACTAATATTATTTCTCACACCATGAATTTTGTTAGAATAGTTCGGGTAAAATTGTCACAACGTTCTTTCTTTAGGTTGGATTTGAGTCATTAAAAAGCGGGTTTTCTCTTAAGAGAAATGGTAACAACATTTGCTTCGTTCAGTTGTTTGGGTTCGGAATCCAGAGCAGATATTTTTCTTTTTCTTTTTTTTTTTTATTAAAAAAACCTTCCAAAATGAGTTTGAAGTGTAGGATAAGTGTTTTGAAGCAATCCAAAGTGATGGATAAAGTGCTAGGGGTCTTTTGAAAATCATAAAGTATTTTCATGAGAACTTGTGTGCACAATTAAAAAACTCTACCCTAGTTTGGTGCTTACAATTGTCTTTTTCAAAACTATTATACTTAAATGGATTTTGGTTGTTTAATTATTGATGTATATGTACAATGTATAAGAGGTAGAATTATATTTCAAATTGTATATACATAACAATTACGGTTTAGCAAAAAATGCTCACTGCAACTAAATACTCTTTTTGTCCCATAAAATCTTTAACACTTTAAATTCATAGAATATAAGATAATTGTTTAAAAGTAAAAAGTGTGTAATTAGAACGTGCGTAATTAGAACTTCTTTACAAGAAAGATAATTGTTAGCACTTAGATATTAATTACCAAAATAAGAAATATAGTATAATTTGTATGAGTATATTTTTTGGGACACTCTTAAAAAGAAAATGTAAGAAATTTTATGATACGAAATAAATATATTCAAAAGTTCTAAAACATTTACTTTTTTGGTATATTTTTTTGTACAACTTTTTCTTATACTTCTACACTTCTAATATTTTGTAAGTACATTTAAAACTGAATATGAGAAAATTCACACCTAAACTCATTTCCTCTATCCCAAATTATAGTCTCTTCACTATTAACATAGTAAAATTTTATTCATTTTCTTTATCTATTTTCGTTATTCATTTGATAAAATGATGCGGAGTATATTGATGATATCTTTTATTTATAAATTTTTTATGTAGCTTTTTGAAATGTAAGTTTAATTTTTTAATTATTACATAATTTTCAAATAAAACAAATTCAAAATAACTTTAATCAAATATTATAAATGGAAACAATCACTATAAAGTGGGATGAAAGGAGTAGATTTTATACTCACGATAGTGCTGCTCAAAATATTTACGAAGCAAATTTCAGAATATCAAAGCTACCAAAACATGTTATTTCGTGAATTGGTTTTTGTAGGCTGCGTCTGTACTCGGGTCCCATGCTCATGCTCACTTCAGACTCTTTTTATCCACAACAAGGAATGTATGGTAGAGAGAGTAGTGATGTGCAAATGGGGTACACTTTTGGTGTACTCTTGCGTATTTAAATTTAATTTTGAGATTGGCTTTTTTTCTTTGTTTTTAAGGAATTTTTGTCATAAAAAAATGTCACATTTTACTATCTAAAAAAATTGTTTATTGTGAGCCATTATTGATTATTTGATAAACAATAATATTTTTTTCAAACTTTTTTTGTAGATTTTTTGACATTATTATTAAATATACAATTTTATTTTTTATTTTTATGCAAATCTATAAATAAAATAAAGTCAAAAAATAAAAAAGTGTTAAACCAGTGAACTTTTTTGTATCTCAAGCAAGGTATAAGTGACAGAAACAAATTAAAGGTTAATTTGCAAAAAATGGTAGTATTAATAATACTAATAATAATAATAATAAAGAATTAAAAAAAAGAAACAAAAAAATAGACTCAACTCATCTATATATTGCTCAAAATTGTTTGGGACGCTCTAAGGAAAAATCCCATTTGCAGCCGGCGCCGGCGGGGCATATCACAGTGTAAGTGCTCCGAAAGGGAGGTGCAAGCCGTCTTGCTTTGAGGACGGCGGAGGACCACTGACTAGCGGCGGAAGAGCCGCCGATTGAGGGGACGACGACATATACTGCACACAAGAGGCGGCGGCATAGTGACCGTGGAAGTTGCCACCATAACCGCCGTGCCTTTGATTTGGATATGGCGGAAGGGGGGCCCACGACACCGCCGGAATCATTCTCCCCGACTGCGTTCAAGAAAACATTATAAAAAAAATCAAGAATATAAATTTCACATTTTGATATTCATGGGAATGAGAAATACTTAGGCTCTGTTCGGTATACGGAATTCAAGTTGTAGAATTGGAACTTTACTTCTAATTCTGGTGTTTTGTAGCACAAAAATATGTAAATTTAGAATTGGCAGTGCCAAAATTTTTTTTTACTAAATTTCATTAAAGCTCCATTTGGTACACGGAATTCAAACTATCGAACTAGAATGGCGGGAACACAACTCCAATTTTACCGCACAAAAATATGTAGATTTAGAATTGGTAGTGCCAAAAATGAATTGAAAATTGAAATTGGAAAATTCAATTCCATTCAAATCAATACCATAGAATTTCAATTCTCAGTTCAATTTCAGTTATGTCAATTCTGTGTACCAAACGGAGCCTAACGATATGTTTTGGAACATGAATTTGGATTTCAAATCTAAATTTGGCTCAAATTTCATGTTTGGAAAACTTAAAAATTTTGGACTTGAATTTGGGTTAAACTTCTCTCATTCATAACAAAGCTTAATTTGAAATTCATGCACCTCCCGTTGTCATTTGAAATTCAAAATTTCAAATTTTGGAATTGAAATGTATTTTAGTAAACTTCCAAACACTACCTAAAGGTATTTTAGTAAACTTCCAACTTTTTTAAAAATTTTTAAAAAATTATAAAAGGTTTTGGAAAGATTTATGGGGACAAGGTTAGTACTGTATATTTTTACCATGTAAGGCATGCAATTGAAGCTTGGAACCACAAGAAGAGGTGGGGGTGGAATGGGAGGCCTTTGGTGCTTTGAGACTGAATATGGTTTGCCTTTTGGAGGATTTTGTAGCCCTTTATTATCATCAACTCTTTCAAGGACCTGATGTAAAAATCAGCACATTCATAACATATAACCCACTTTAATTTACTTATTAAAGATTAACAAATATTTCAGTCAAAGATGTGCACATGATTTGACTTGAGAGGTAAAGTGGTCGAAATCGCGCGCACATCTCTGACAAAATATTCTAACTTTTACCGAAAGTTAAAAATTTAACGGCGAAAAATTTATCCTTTTTCATTGATTTTAATGTAACGAGTATTCAAGAAAAAAAAACAAGACGATAAATGTGAATCGAATTTACCACACACCTTTGCATTGGATTCGTCATTTTTCGAAGGCGGAGAGACACTAGTACTAGTAGTAGCCTGTATATATAACATATGATCATCAAGAAAATAAAAAAAGAAAGAAAATACACCATTTCAACAATGTAAGAACCATAAGGCCATGTTTGGATGAGGAAAACAAAAACACAAAATTACTTTATTGTTCATCCTGTTGAAATTACCTGCTTTGGGGGATCAGGATGAGGAGCAGGTTCATCAGAAGATGGAGATGGAATAATCCCCTGTGTAGCTCCATTCTGTTGCTCCTGTGTACACCCACAAATTTAGCTTTTAGCTTCCCTATAATTTTCACTTTTTAACACTTTTTTTTAAACTCGGTAAAAGTTGAAACATGTTCCGTAGAATATTTGGGACGAAGATAGTATATACTCTAGTATTACGGAGTAGTCTATTTTAAAAATCATTTAAAAAAGCAAGAGGCTAATTATAAAAGTTATAAAAAGAAAGACGTATAAACTCTCACTATCTTTAAAAGATTGTCACAGTTTGATTTTTTTGATTAAATTATGACACCATTTGATGGTGAATTATGCGAGTTTATTTTAAAATATAGTTTCAAAATATCAAATTTTTATAATATTAATTATTTTAAAGTTTAAACTGTATCTAATTCCTAGTCAAACGGTGTCACAATTTGATTAAGTAATCTTTTAAGAAGGAAAAAGAGTAGAATGTTACCATTGTTGTTGTGGATGTAGTTGTGGTAGTTTGATTGAGGGGCATGTCAAAGACACTAGTCCTCCTCTTCTTTTTATCCAAACAAGAGATTCTAATGAAATACTTTTGGGCATGACTGGCCACTTGTGTAGGAGTCCTTGAAGGGACATATGTCCTAGAAATCCCCCTCCAGTCTCCCTTCCCTAGCTTCTCCAGCCCTACCAAGAATGCCCTGTGCTCTTCCTCACTCCATGTGCTCCCTATTCATTCAAACCCACAAAATTATTATAATCCATAATTAAATCTCTCCTTAATTAATTAATTAGATCAGACTTTTACAATCATCGTCTCGAAAAACCTTTTTAATTTTTGATTTTTTTGCTAGACACTTTTTCACCACAGATTGTGAAAAAAATATATTTGGATCAACATCAAAACCAAAGCACACATTTGGATCGAATCGAAACAAAAAAACGTTATTTTTACATCTATCAAATTTTGTCAAATTTTCCTAAACATGCATAAACAAAAACTGTACGTGCCATAAAATAAATAAAATTAGGGACGGACCTTTTTTGGAGGAGGAGCGGGCGGAATGGAGGAAGAGATCGTCGGAGGAGAGGTAACGTGCGTCGCGGCGGTGATCGACGGTCTCCGGCGGGAGGAGGCTCTCGAGACTCTTGGTCCTCCTAATAGAAGATACATTATTATTATTATTGGACGGCGGCGGCGGCGATTCATCGGGGACGACATTGATTTTGACCCCAAAGAGCTTGAAGCTGGTACAACCTTTGCAGCACGTCCTGGAATTGTGCCCATTGCTCCCACATTGGGAGCACTTTCTCATCGGGTCTTTCGTCATCCTCCCGAAGAACACGGACCGGGCCGGACCCGAATTTTAATAATAATAATAATCCAATTCCCAGGTTTAATTATTCTAATCCTGTTTCTCGGCCGATCTGTTTTGTTATATATATATATATATATATATATATATATATATAGGTTTTAGGATTCATGAAAGAGAATGGATCATGGTAGAAGATTTGATTTAATTAATTGCAGTCTGTTTATGATTAAGAGAAGAAAAAAAAAAGAAGAAAAATCCGAATTTATTGTTTTCTTTTTTGGAAGCTTCCTAAGGAGGTTTAATCATTATTGGCTCTCATTTATCCCAATGGGGATATATATTTTGTGATGAGTTGTTATTTTTGTTAATTTAGATTTGGTCAACTTTTACATAAATAAGGAGTGTTGCCATAGTACTAGTGGTGTTTAATTATCTTGATTCTTTAATTAATTTGTTTTTGTTTTTCTCGTTAAATAAGGAGTACCTTATATATATACTCCGTATGTCCCTTGTTTGACTATTCTTATTTATGATATTTAACTGAATTTATAAGAAAATTTTTTCTTTTTGTGAAACATGGTGGAATAATAAAAGATTGTAAAATGTAAGTATGCTCCGTAATTATATTATTTTATAAAATAAATAACATAAATAAATAAAGATAGTTGGCAAAAATTATTGAGATCAATGTTTTAAAAAAAGTAGTGAAAAATGAGAAAAAAAGGTAGAATTTGTTAACATATAGAAATTTTATACGTCTTCTTTGGAAATAACTTTCTTGATTATCGTTTGCATTTGACATGATTATCTAATATTTGTAATACGAATTAATTATCAATTCAATTGTTAAAATTGTTTTAAAACAAACTCTAGGTCATATTATTTTTTAGAATAATTTTAGAGTCACAAATAACTTGAATACAAATTACGGAGTATATAAACTTTTTGTTTGTGCACTCTCCCAAAATAATAAAATGATTTTAAACAATTAATAAAAAATAATAATTTAAATATAATTTAGATACACAAATGGTCGTAAATTTATGTAGTTTGTGTCTAAGTTATTTGCAACTCTAACATTATTCAAATTTTTTCTTTAAAACTACACAGAATAATATTTATTTTTGGGATAGATAAAAAATGAATGACCAAAAATGGTAATGTTTTTAATTGACAGGTTGTTGTCAAGCTGTATTTTGTTAGCAGTGACACATTAATATTTGGATATTTTTTTAAATCCAGTAATTAGGAAAAAAATCTAGGGTATGAAAATCGCGTACGATTCCGTACTTTATATATATGCCTCCCAATCATAGGATAGAAATAAATTAATTGCTGCAACCATCTTAGGACTTTTAAGATATCTGTCAATTTTGAATTTTTTATAGCCAGACTAGATTAATTTTTGTTATCAAATAAATAAAATTACTCTGCATTGCATAAAATAGTCGCACATTAGGAGCGCGTAAAAGGGGGGTCCAGATTGGGATGTAGGGGTCTGGTGTAGGGGTGTGGTGGGGGTTTAGGGAGGGGTTAGGGGGTTGGAAGTTGGAACTCTATATTAATTTTTCATTTGGAGCATTGGAGTAGCTCCAAATGAGCGAGTACTGGAAACCAGTATCAGCAGCCGGAACTTTTGAAGATATCTGTCAATTTTTTTAATTTCATAGCCAAACAAGATTAATTTTGGTTATCGAATAAATAAAATTGTATTACATGTGAATACAAAATAATTTTATTATAATTATCTATGTGTTAAATACTTTCTAAACTAGTATTTCATTATATTAATATATCTTGTAGTGATTAAAATTTGTACAATTTGTATGGAAAAAAATAAACTTGACAAATACACTAAAAAAATCGTATAAAAAGATACTCCGTGATTTTAATACTATGTTCACCAAAATTCTTCCTATTTCGTATTTACGTGGAAAACTCCATTTTTTAAAAGAATTTTATTTACAAATTGGCATAAAAATAAAAGGTAAAACTTACATATTTAAGTACTATATAAAAATTCTATAAAATAAACAGTGACAAATTCTGTTTACTTTTATATAATAGAGAATTTTAAAAAGAAAAGAAAAGAAAAGTATTTTAAAAAGAAAAGAAAATTCCCTACATAGTTTATTATAATAGAGAATTTTCATATTTAGTCCTCAACTATCAAACATTACTTCGTGGGAGTACTTCTCCTCATGTAGTACTTTTTTAATATTCTTCTTTTGTTGTTAAATTAAGAACTAAAAATGTAAATTCACGACATTAACTCTATATCTAGCTTGATGTATTCTGATATCGATTTTTAGCACGACACGGCTTTTGGTATTAGCTATGACTAGAAAAAGATATATGATTATTGTAAAATTATACTTTTATTCTTCAATTTAATACCAACATAATAAAAGATAAAAAAAAAGACTATCCACCAAAAGATATTCATACAAGAAGGGTAATTAAAGTAACATTTAATAAAAGAAGATTAAATATGAAGTCTGCTTTTATAAAGAAAGCAATTATAGAATTACTCAAAAAAATCTATTGAAGGAAACTTTTGTACAAGCTCTATCTGACTTTTAAACAAGTCATAATGTTATTCTACACATTTAGAAGAATATTACCTATATTAGAACGAGTCGAAATGTTTACTCAAAAAACTTAAAATGACAATACCACAAAATAGATTTACAATACATAATGATGATGAAAAAATAATGGAAAACTTGGGAAATAGCAAACACAGAACCCATAAGTACAAGTGCAACAACTCATCCATCTATAACAAGATGTGGGAAGCTTACAAGATTAAAAACTTTACATTATCCATCACAAATAATGTATGGGGTTAGTATTGTCTTATTCAAAGGGGCTTTTACCCCTTAGAAGAAACCAAATACAAACCATCAACTATATACTATTGAATGCCAAATATATGACACAAACATAGGGCTAGTTACATGTAAAGAATCCGTGCAACTTTGGAGGTCTAATGTTACAAACCCTTCATATCTGTACTGTGGAGGAGAAACAACAAGCAAAGGCTGTAACTCTCAGTTAGACCAGACATGAACCAGGCCAAGCCGGTTCCCGGTATAGATTTCGTCGCGGTCTTCATCATAAAAGAGTGCAGTGATATCTTCCAGTGCTTCTGCAACAGAGGTCCTAATTCGCTTTGATTCATTGTGTCCTATGCGGCTATCATCACAATCCTCAGGTGTCACGCCTTTGGTTGCTTTTATTTTAGCTAGGCACTTACCTGTCAGTATGTTGCTGACATTGATGGAACCTGCTGCACAACCCAGAGTGACCTTAGTTTGTTAAAAACTTGTAAGCAAACAAAAAGGAAGAATCTCTAATCATTCACAACAGATATGCTAAAAAACAGAGAAACACAGGTCTCTTACCACTTCCTTCAGATAGGGGATCTTCAGAATCAGCTTTGCAGTAGGAGATAATGAGGTCCTGATCGCCAGTAATGTAAATATTGTTAGTATTACAGTCGGGATGCCATAAAAGGTGATCTTCGAATGAAGTTACAAGTTCGCCCCTGAAATTCCAAACCGCAACGGTTCTGTCTTTGAACGTCAAGAACAGCTGGTTCTCGTACAGAAATATGAACGCCGATGGGGTCATGAACTCAGTTCTGCTCACTTCTGTCAACTCTGAACTGCAGACCTAAATGTCAAATATTTGCAAAGTATTCTCGGTGAATTACAGTGAGAAGTTTAAGACGGGTGTGGGGAAACCACTGCATCACACAGTAAGGTTATGTTTGGAAAATAGAAAATGGTGGAAGGGGGGAGATATGCTAAGGACAATTTGTGTGAAAAAAATATCTAAATTTAAGTTGTAGAGTTTGAATGAAATTTATCATTTCTCACAAATTTTCTTTCTTTCCAAATTTCCCATGCTAGTGAAAGAAAACAGTTGTAGAGTGGATATTTGGAGATAAACACAACTTTCCTTTTTGTGGTGATTATGGTGGGGGAGGGGAGAGGGAAGGGGGGATTTATTACAGCTAAAGAAATCTAAATTTTTTGTGTGTGTTCAACTTTTAGAATATTTTGATAAAAAACTGTATGTTTGTTCGTACTTTTCAGCAATTTCCCCTTTCTCAACCACTTTCTGAGTTCCAAACATAGCTTAAAGCACTCACATCACGAATCTGAAGATTCTCATTCTCTTGCTTGATAAGTAGCTTTTCATTGAACTGCTCAATGAAATCCACTTTCTTATTCCGATTAAGCAGATGGTTGAAAGATTTGAGAACCGTCCCATCCTCAATAGAAAGAATCTTCAATGGAACATAACAACTAGCTTGGGTATATATCAACAGCATGATTCCAGGGCTGTTTTCCAAAAGTTAACAATAGAATAGTTCAAATACGAGAAACTAATATAATGCCTGCTTGGCACCATTAAAACACAATAATGATGACAAAATATGTGTGCAAGATAACAAACAGAGACAAGCAACTGAATCATCCTCATGCACAGCTTATACAAGTATACAACAAATCTACAGTAATTTTGAATGCTTTATTTGTTATGCTGTGAATAGGATAATAATGTGTGCATGGATGGTGTGTTTGAAGGGCTTAGTCTGTGTCATGATATATATCTGAGATTTTAAAGTATTTTAAATATTAATATTATATGTGACTAGATGACATTACAATTTGACATTTCAATTACCGTTTATTCTTCTTAGAAACATTCTACTCCCTCGGTCCCTAAAAGAAGTTCACATTTACTATTCATGGGGTCAAAGTTTGACCTCTTTCTTTGCCAATTTCCACTACTCATTTGATAAAATAATATAACCTTATCACCTTTTGTTTTGTAGAACTTTTAATGTAGCTTTTAAATCTATACGGAGTAATTTTTACTTTTTAAATCCATACCAATTTTCAAATAAATTTATCGTAAACAACAATAACTTTATTTTGAGATGGAGGGAGCATTTATAAAAACATACGCTAAGCCCTTTAAAGCTTTCCCCTTCAAAACCCTCCATCCAAACATGGTGAAACAGACATTATCACAGTCCAGCTAGATCTTCACTA